AAGCACTTGATCTTACGGATGAAGGCAATTCATCTTGAAATCAAGGCCTCTCCGTCTTGGCCACGGTTGCCATTTTCCACCGATGTTTGAAAAACGCATCGGTGAAGAACGCTTCCTCAGCACGGATAGTTTCGTGCTGGGATTAGAAAAACAGATCCTCATACCCAAGAACAACGAGATTCGATCCCGTTCGGTGGTCATACCGGCCACGCGATCAAATATTTTGGATGGCGGCATCCAAGGAGACTCCACTTGAAAAGCGTGGCGTAGGACATTGGGGTCACTGGTCCTGTGAGAAATGCCAGCATGAGCACTGACACCAGTGACAGCTCGATCTCTCGAGTTACTTTAGTTGTGGTGATGCCTATGTGCATCACCACCATCACCACGCGTTTATCGTTGGATGGACTCGCACAAGGCGAGGATTCGTCGAAACAAGCGCTGGGTCCGAAGATCTTGGACATGATACCGCCACTTTCACCAGAGCCAGTAAATCTGGCTCTTGCAGTACCGCCCCGGGTGATCCGGAGGCGTGAGGTGTCGCCTTCGAGTCGGATGCATCATCCGACTCGCCAGAATAGATGAGCTCTATAACAGGCTCATCCACATTGCGACTCGCAGCACCCGCTGAAGACGCAGCAGATGTATCTGTCGCACGTGGAGACTCACCAGGTAGACTATTCACCACAGGGACCGCCTGTTGCTAAATCGCAACATCAGGTAAAGGTTCACCTGATTGTGAAGCAAGAAAAGAACTCTTTTTGGATGCTCGCATGCGCGCAACCACCTTTTTTTGGCTGCTTTCGCTGCTAATCGCATGAGCTTCGACACCATGCGATGAATCGGAAAAGGATTGGGATTTGACCATTAAGTGCTCCCCTCTTTAAAGTGATCTAACGGTGATCAACCTGTCCCAGTCAATTGAAGTCAATCGACGAATGATTGATGGTTAAGGGTGAGTGATGTAACGGGGTAGTCCGTTACATGATATTGACACCAAACGGCGTCAGTAGGGATATTTTCCAGTGTGACAATTGCCTGACAATATAACCCAAAGTCGGTAATTTTGAAGAAATAGTATCCCCTTTTAGGATAATATTCATGCGCTGTTCCAAGATTGGTTGATAAAAATATATCAACCATGGATTACCACCAATCGCTGCTAGACGCGCGCAATGAGTGGTAAGCAGGTTGTCGTCATACGAAGACGTAGCTTAATTTAGTTAGATAAGGACTAAAGGTATATTAATACATTTACTATATCTATTACAGTTCTCTTTTTACCCTTTTCTTAAACTAGCTGTTTGAGTATTTAGATTCTTTTAAACTTACTAGTGTACGTGAAGTTTCGTGGCACCGCCAAGAAAGGGTGCCCTTTAAAAAAAAAGATCAATGTAGAGGGTACGTCATGCATCTGAGATGTTAAAAAAAGATTTGGTGCTGAGGATCTTAAGCGAGCGGATTCGTCAAGACCAAGATGACGAACGTCCACTTGTTATCCTGAAGAAGTATCTACTTGTCGATATTTACAAACAGAGCTTAGATAAAGCAAAGACGTGCGCCAAGATCGCGCCAGATCATGAGACCGATTAAAAGGATTTGCAATTTTTTGTTTGACGGCGAAAAAAGCCAGACAATAAAGACGGGCTGGTGCATCTATCGAACCCGGGCAAATTATTACAAGACCTGTTGCACCGTTACCACGACATTCTACAAGGGGGCTTCTAAGGTATCAGCAGAACTTAACAGTATATCAGTTGTCGATTTCACTAAAGATGGTTTTATATGCGCATACAACGCTTTGTAAGCATGTTGGGGCTGTGATATCGGAAAGAGGTATCCGACGATCAAAAACAAACGTAAGCAACCTATTTTCATATTTTTCGCCATAAACGATATTCTAGTGCAGCCTAGGAGTTAAAAAGAGATTCATTTAGAGGAATACTCTATTAATAATTTTAATTAAAACCTTCTGTTGTTTTTTCATGGTGTAGAAAAGATCTTCTGGAGCGGCGCAGACGGTAGCCTTAAATATAAAAAATTGGGTGTTTCGTTTTTAAAAGCGAATAAGGCTATTAGCCGTTGTCGAGACCGAACTTTATGTCCTAAACATTTCGTGCTTTTAGCTGGAATGTGGGGTAGGGAATACGAGCTACGATGGTGTATCGACAAGAGTCAATCGAATCAGTAGAGTACATAATGCAAACACTGTTTCGTTCACTTCAGTTTTACATCGCTGATGTAAAACCAACAAACTAGAAACTTAATGTGGAGCGCCTCGCTTTCGATTTCAACACGTCTAATGATAGGATTTGATGAAATTCTTTTTATCGGATCAATCGACGGCACTCATGATCTGCGTTAGCAGCTACGTTAGCGGTGGCAAACACAGCAGTCCGATACCGCGATACAAGATGGCTGCGGTAAATGTACAGAGGCATTATCTGCGAAGCCGATAGTAATAAATGGTCGTTTGAAAGCCGCAATCCTAAAATTAACCGATTGACTCAGTAACGATCTGGACCGACATCGTATTGACGTTGGTTTGCAGGTATGGCTGTATCTAGATATGATTACAGAGGGTATGTTTTTAGAAAGTAGGCGCATGTGTGGCGTTGAGAATTCGGATGGTGATAATGTGTGACGATCACGCTGTACGACTGGAGAGGGCGGCATTACTATCGATTATTTCCAATCGTGCATCTGCATAAGTTAAAAAATTACGAAGGCATTTTCTCGATTGGCCGAAAGACGAGCGGGTGATGAAAAAAGGATGTTGCTTGGACTTAACATAGTCCTACTACCAGAAGACAATAGGGATGGCGTTTAAATGAGGATGCTTTAGAAGTTATGATAGTACTAGGCGATTGATCCATCCTAAAAACTCGCTACGGGTGGATACATCGTCATGTATTCTAATAATGGACACGTACCGATTCGAGTTGGTCGGACGAAGCTGGCATGATCTTTGGATTTTTTTTGCAAATTTTAAAAGGTAACGATATAGGCGAAGTCATTATGAAAATATGCAGTCACATGTGAGTAAATCGGACACGCCCTAAGAAGGTTTAACAAGTGTGCTAGTTTATAATGTACGCAATGATAGGAATAAAAGGCGTTTTAGGTGGTAATACATGTCGAAAATGATAGAGAAGGGTGTTCTAGGTGGTCGTACATGCTGGAAGATGGAGGTAAAGGGTATGGTAGGTGGTCGCACATGCCAGAATATGGGGTCGTCACTTTATGTACAAATATTTAAGCAAAATTTCAGCTTAACGTTGGAGATCGAAATCGGATCGACGTGTGAAATTAGGACTGAATAGTTAAAGGTAGATAACTGCAGTTTCAAATAGCAATTATTTCTGTGAACTAGTTAAGACGACAAAATGCTCCGGACCTAAGACCATTCTGTAGGCTTGTCTTGATGTGGAGCCAAGGTAGTCACAACCTAGGTAGATTTCAGATAGAACCGCAAAACTACTTACGCCCTAGATCTTCAAAGTCCAAGACTTCAAGGAAATACGCCAATTAGATTAACATTATGCTTAAAACGGGTTACCACATCCGCCCTATATGGTAGGCGCAAATAATTGTAAAGAGTAGGGGTCCATCACAATGTCCAGGTCGCAAAGGCCAGCTATCATCCCCTGCAAAATATTTTTTTAAAAAAGCGCAGAGGGATCCATAAAGAGACTGGCACTCCTTACGTTACTGCCAGAAATTTCTCACGAATCGACCTGAATCACGATGAGCAAGTGTGTCGGTTCTTTTTAAGAATCTACACAAGGTATGATGATCCAATTTGATATCCATGAAACAAAGACTACCATCTCGATACCATCCCTTCAGGATGACATACACGGGATCGACAGGCACCATTGTCGCATTCCAGAAAGCTTCGGCATACATGTGACGGGTAGTTAGATCAGTCCTGATGCTATATAACCAGTGAGCAGCGTTCGACGATGGAAAAGATGTGGAATCTAAGATTTTTTTGGGTTTTTACTAGTCGTAGAACAGCAGATCTATGGTCATTGATATAACGCAAGTCATAGAGATTCGCATTACCAACCAGTGAAGGATCTTTATATGGCCTCTGTGGGACTCATCGATGAGTGGAAACCGTTAATCTCAATATTTGGAGCGTATTCAGGTCGACAATCTTAGCCGAAGAAAAAAGAGTTTCGGTTTCTAATGTTCCGGAACAGTGACACTGTTATTACTATCCAATGCACGGACCTTTAAAAAATTTGAATTCGACAAAGGAGTCGAAAGTGTCGATGTTACATCCAGTGATTTCAACTTTCAGACTTTCAGACCTTTTGAACCTTCCAGGCAAATCTCTTTTCCGAGTCTTGATCACTCAATTGCCAGTCACCATTTATGACAGATGTAAATGCTCTGTCAGATTTGTGTGACGTGGCACCCTCAATCATGTACTGATGACTGTACAAGCTACTTATTCTGGTGACAGTACAAGCTACTTATTCTGATGACAGAATAAGGCGGTGCCTCGTAACTTCACGTACACTCGTACGTGCAGAGGAAGACGGTAAGAAGAAGCGAGTACTTGGTTAAAGTAAAAAGGAGAACTGTATTTATCATAGTTAATGTCTGCAATGAATCACTATTTATCTTCATCTAACTATGTCTAAATACAAATGTGTAAATCAGTTATCTGCTCACCACTCATTGCGTGCGTCTGTCGTGGCGCGTCTTCGATGGTTGATGTTTTGGCCTATATCAACCAATTAAAACTACTCGTAAGTGCTACAGAAAATTTGTCCTTATGACAATATTCTGAGAATACAACTCCTTTAGTTATATTCTATTAACAATTTCTTATAAATTGTTATGCAACGATTCACCCCGTTACATCACCCCCCCCTTAACCATCGGTCACTTTGGTGACAGATTGACTAAATCGATACTCTTCCCAAATCATTTGGGACAGGGTTTGCACTTGTTGGTCCGAGTCCATTTTCGAACAGTTTCATCGCATGGTTAAGAAGCCCATGCGGTGTGCGAGCAAGGCCGCCGAGAGCGCGTCCGCACGTCTCTGTGCGGACACCGAAGCAGAAACTGCAGCAACTGATTTCTCATCGGTTGCTGAAGCGACTCAGCCTGTGGCACCTGATGATGCAGGCGCTGGTCATGAAGACACTCATGTCTTTATAGATTATGAGCTCGGTGCCTCATACTCTTCCGATACAAAAGATGGATCTGCATCGACGGCGATCGAAACCAAGCCGCCTGCCAAGCGTGTCATGGATGATGCTATGCGTCGTAGCATCTTTGGTTCATCTGATGAGTCAGATGAACCTTTGCCGAAGCGAAGGCGCTTAAAGTCGCAAAACTCGGGCACTCACAGTGGTGTCGGTTCTCCTATGGACACCACTTCACAACGAGGTGCCAGTACTTCTGTCGGCACGTCGCAGGAAGAGCGGGACCGCAATGTCTTGCGTCTCGCTCCTGAAAAGAATGCATGGATGCCTCCAAATTCCGTCATGGATCACTTGTCGGCGACGACGAGTGATCGTTATCGAACACGATTGTTCGATTCGTCAAGGATCCATCACCTTGACCCCAGCGCGAAAGGATACCGCGCTGAGAATGATTTCTTCATCGGTGCTTTCTTTAAACATCGATGGTACAGTGGGAATCACAAACGTGATGGTCCCTCACTACTTCAGGCGTGGAACGCCTACATCCATAACCTCGAAGATGTAGGTCCTGACGCTTGGAACGACAAACTTATCAAAGCTCGTGATAAGTTTGAAAAGCGAACACCGACAGGTGCACGCTACAAGCTGCATCGTCTGTCAAGGGAGAAAGGATTACCCTGCCTCTCTTGGGGAGACTCGTGCCCATGTTGTGTGAACAACTCTGCACGAGCACCTAAGGAGGCTTACCTCCTTACCAGCCCGTGGTGGCGCGTACGTATCTCTACTTAGATGTACGAAGGGATTGACAACCTGAAATCCCTTTACGACCGTGCCGGGAAGACTTTCTCCGGCGGTCCATCTGCGGCACAGGATGTGCCGCGTCGTACTGCTCGACTAGACCCAGTACGTCAATCATCAGTTGGGAGCGGGGCTCCCAAGAATCCCAGGACGGGGGATAGCCGCGCCACCGGACGAGATAACTCGTCCGACGTCCGTTCACGTCGCGGTGGTTCAACAGCTGCTCAACCAGATAGCGCTGGCCACCGCGAGAGTGGTCTAATGGAGGTGGACAAGGAGGGAAAACGCTCTCCAAACTATCGTGGGGAAGCGTGCATCCCCGAGAGCCTCTTTGATCGCATAACGCAAGGGTTACGCGGCGATCTCGAACATGAGCGGGACAGGCGTCTCCAAATGGCGGACACTGTCTTGAAGCATCGAGCTGAGTTTGCCTTTGCTCAGCTTGAGAGCGAGAGAGCTCTGACATATCTGCGTGACGAGCTAAGGGTAGCTCGTGGGGATATTGACCGGTCTTGGGCTGAGATAACTGCTCTTCAGACCCTTTTCGATGTCCACCATCGAAAGCACAAGGCCCTCTGTTAGATGCTTGAACGAAAGGGTGTTCTTCAGCGGAAATAACAGCGTACTGATGGTACGGCTAACGCCGACCAACGTAAAACGTGGGATGCGTTCGCATCTTACGTGGCAACTCGATCGTGTATGCATTGCCTAGGCGGTGCAATACACGAAACGGGCCGATGTACTTGGGTAGTCGTTTACTACTACCCAAGTTAGTCACTACATGCTCTGGTAGATTAACCGTAGACAGTAGGACTAAGTCACCTTTATTAAATAAAAGAGTGTTTGCCCTTCCATTCTTGTCAGCGTTTTGCTTTTGCCTATCCACCGCTTCGGCGATGGAGTCTTGCACAAAACGGACTACCGTTTCACGAGCCAGTATGAATTCATCTGATGACTCGCTAGCTTCAGTGCGCTGTGAGTGCACTGCAGCAACATCAATCTTTTCTTCAGTGAGGGCTTCCGCACTCTCACTGGCATCATCTTCTTCGATATCGATGTTATCGATATCGGCATCAAACGCAATGACCTCTTCGTTAGAGCGTGATGGGCGTGAACCAAATCGGTTTTTGCTCGCGCGAGTCCCTCCCCAGCTTAAACCAGAGTTACACTCTAGTAAGGTGGGTGCACGCGGATGGCGCAAGCCATTCACGTAAAACGGTGTATGTGTCGTGGACGCATGCACCGAGTTGTTAATGGTAAACTCTACCATTAGCCAAAACTCACTCCAACTCTTAAAATAGTGTACGTATCCTCGAAGTATCTCTTTAAGGACACGATTGGCACGTTCCGTCTGGCCATCTGACTCTGGATGATCAGATGTAGACATCTTCAAGCGCGTTCCGAGTGATTTGAACACGGAACGCCAGAAATCAGCAGTGAATCGTGGATCTCTGTCTGATACGAGTTCACGGGGCAACCCATGAAGTCGGAAGATGGTGTCAATAAAGACACAAGCACAGCCACTTGCCGTGATTGTCTCTGGTACAGCCACAAGGTGTACCATTTTGCTGAATCTGTCAACAAATACGAGAATACCCGTATTCCCGCGTGCGTCTTTGGGTAACCCGAAGACGAAATCCATTGAGATGGATTCCCAGCACTCAGCCGGAACCGGTAGAGGCTGTAAAGGTGCACGCAGTGAAGGACTTGACTTCACTCGTTGACAGACTTCGCATGCGCGAACATACTTTCGCACAAACTGATACTGGCGGGGCCAGTAAAAGTCTCGACTCACCGTGAGATACGTTTTCTCCCGGCCACGATGTCCTCCTATAGGAGCATCGTGATACTCGAACATGATCCGCAAACGCACATCAGTATCATCGGGAATGACAACACGTGGTGTGTCACCAGAAACGGCTGTATAATACAGTAAACCGTTACGAGTAGTTTATCGATTTGATGCAGATCGATACGCAGACGACAATCGTTTCAATGATTCTCGAGATGGTTGGGAGAGATGTGTCAACAACTTCACAATCTCACCATCTTGGGCGTATGCCCGCCTCACATCATCATGCAACGTTGAAGATGGTACTGAGGACGTCATAACCGCAACAGTGGCTGTCTCACTGTTGGGTTTCACGACTGGTTCAAAGTCGGGACGACGTGAGAGTGCATCAGCGACGACATTAAGTCGTCCTGGTTTGTACTCGACCGTAAAGTTGTATTCCGCAAAGAATGACAACCACCGCGCCATTCGTTGTGAAAGGTGCGGGCTGTTCACTGTCGTGCGTAATGACGCATGGTCAGTGTAAACAACGAAGGGTCTATCTCCTATTAGATAGACTCTGAACTTCGCGAGTGCATACTTCATGGCAAGGAGTTCTTTGTCATGCACTAGATAGTACCGCTCAGCTGGTTGCAGCTGACACGACTGATAGCAGACGACGCGTTCAACGCCTTCAAGATCGTACTGCATCAATGCACAGCCGATTGCAAAATCGCTGGCATCACAGACCACATGAAATGGCCTGTCCTGATCGGCTATTGCTAGGACTGGGGATTGTATCAAGCTCTGCTTGATACCACCAAAGGAGCGCTAACATTCAGCGTTCCATAACCACCTCTCGTTCTTTTTCAACAAACGAGAGAGGTGCACAGTCATCTCGGCGTCATTGCGTGAATACTTATGCAAATACGCCGCTAGCCCAAGGAATTTTCGAAGACCTTTGACACCAACCGGCACATACCAGGCGGTAATCGCCTTGATCTTTTCGGGATCAGGACGTACACCGTTCTTACCAACGATGCACCCAAGAAGTGGTATTTCGCTTGCTGCAAATATTCACTTCTTGAGATTTGCATACAATTGATGCTTTCGCATGATTGTAAGAACCTGTCGGACGTGGTACCTGTGAACCTCAACGTCCGACTTTCCATCCATAGCTCGACTATGGATGAATACGTCATCGAAATAACTCGGCGCGAATTCTCGTACTGGTCTCAACAGATGTGATACACATCTGTTGAACGTGGCAGGGGCATTACTAAGCCCTTGTGGCATTACTAGCCATTCCCAGAGCATGCCGCTAGGCGTGCTAACTGCGGTATAGGGCATATCACGTTCTCGCATAAGGATTTGATAGAAGCCATCCATCAAATCCATGGACGAAAAGATGGTACTCTTTGACATACCATCAATGATTACGTCCTTCCTCGGTATCGGTGTCTGAGCCGGTACCGTTGCAGCATTCAACTGGTTAAATGCGTGCAGTATCCGCCATCCTCCTGTTGCTTTTCGCACATAGAAGGTCGGAGAGCTATGTGGGGAAGTTGATTCCCTCACATGGCCCGCAGCTAAACGATTGGCAAAGAACTTGTCGATCGCAAGTACTTGTTCACGAGGCAGTGGCCACTGCTTCATGGCACAGTACTTCGAGCCTGGTTTAAGCTCGACCTCGTGTCGAGTACCTTTATCCTTCGGTAATTCGCACGGAACAGTTTCAGGGAACACATCCTTGAATTCAACCAAATCTTCATAGAGAGGATTTCTCTTGAGCGATTCCCACGATTGGGAGTCATATCGCTCAACTCGTGTCTTTTCATCTAGGACACTCTCGTTCATAGATGAACTACTGAGAACTCTCTCGCTCTAAGTAAACACTGTTGCTGACCTTGTGTCGGCTACACACTCGTCGTCAGCGACGAGTACGCAGATCTGATTGACTTTGCCACTACGCAGATCACGCAAGAACCTTTTATGTTCGAGAGTTGGCAACTGAGTGATCTCCGAAGTCAACTTCGGAGGCGCAATCAGATCAAGTGTATAAGCGCCTACACTTGATACGTTATTGACTATGACATTCAATGTCTCTGTCATTTCCTGGGGACTTATTCCCTCAGGCTTCGAAGGACTTATTCCTTCGGCTTCCCCGGGACTTATTCCCGCGGGTTTCGGGGAACTTGTTTCCGCCGTATCTGTAATATCGAGATTTATTCCCTTTACTTCCTCTAGCTGGGGTTGCGCAACCACAGCGAGATCCTCTACGAAAGACTCTCCAGTCGATCTAGGATTGTCGTTTCGCTTAACCTGAGCGATCGATTGTTTCTCTTCTAGATGTTCCCCGCTAGGGATACATCTTTGTCCCGGTCCACTCGACTTATTCGAGTGGTGGACCTTCGGCGCAGCCTGTGTTTCCTCACAGCCGCCGGAACTTTGCTCCGAAGTGTAACCGTTTGTTACACTAAGGTTTTGTGCAGTCGTACTAACGACCGTACCACAAGTGAGGCCATCGCACTCACTCGTAGTACATCCACACGCTTGTGGACGCTCCAAAACGCTCATCAGATGGCCATCTGATGAACAAGAGGCAGGCATCGTTACTGTTCGATGTTGCCAGTTTACCCGTGGTTCGTACCTTCTGAGCCACGGTATTCCAAGGATGACATTAAATTTGTCATCCAAATCCAATGCGATAAAGTCATCGTCATATTGGATATCTTCTAGCGTATAGTGGATCTTCACTAAACGCTTTATGATGGTTACGGATGCGCCTGTCGCAAGACGTACCGTCATCCTCGTAGGAGGTGTGTCACATTCACTGAACTTAAAGTGACCATCTTCTAGCGATTGGCGTTGCACAAAATTGTTGGACGCCCCACAATCGACTAGAGCTCGAAGGGACAACTTATTCGTCACTTCTAGTTTCAAGGTAGTGAGTGAGACCTCATTACCTAGAGCAGCAACGCACAATGTTTGTGTGTTGGGAGCAACCTTCATCAAGAGGCCTACAAATTCTCTTGACGTTGCTGGACCAGTAGGGTGCTCCGCACCTACTGATCCTGTCCGTTTTTTGACGGTCCATCCCGTTGTTGCGTCTTTACACCAACAGCGGATCCGCGTCCCTGCCCCTTTCTCATGAATGGACGGTCACTACGCCCAGTGTTGCGAAACACTGGACGAGGGGCACTACACTCGTAAACGTAGTGTCCTGTATTCTGACATCTGTTGCATTTCTGCAACTTCTTGTAGCCTGTAGAGCGAGCCTTCTCGCTCTCTACATAACAGAGTTCCATCGGCTCTGGACCTCCGCTGTCATATCGTCTCGGTTGACGATACGATGTCGAGCTGGTGCGAGCCTGTCTCAGACTGAAGTCTTCCTGTTCCGCAATGGAAATGGCTTGTTCTAGTGAATCTAGTTCAAGCCGGAACAGGTGAGTCTTGACGGGACCATCCTCAAGACCCTGCATGAACACCGAAACCAACGTGTGTTCATCCACCGGATTGGAACTTATACAACTCGTGAGATGTCGTATATGTTGAGCGTAAGCGTGCACATCACGCTTACCCTGCTTGAGCTTCAAGAGTTCGGTTCGAGCTCTGAACTCAGCTCTGGGCGTTCAAACGTTTGTATGAGCCGCGACTTGAAAACTTCCAACGACCCAAACGCATATGAGTCGTGCAACTTGAGCCCCAAAGCCCAAGTCTTGGCACGTCCTGCCAGATTTGATTGGGCAAATGCAACTTGCATATCCCCGTCGTCGATGCGACGCGCCCTTATGGCGTCGTCCAATTCGACTAACCATCTCAAGAGGGAGTCCTCTTCGACTCCCCTATACTTGGAGATGTCAATCTTCAAGGTCTCGGGTCGACGCAAGTGCATCGACCTACCAGCAGCAGCCTGCTGCTGTCTCAACAGTTCAAACTGTTGAGCACCCTGTTCTCTCAACAACTCTGATTGTTGAGAACCTTGTTGGTGAAGCAAGGCTACTTTCTCGCGTTCTGCGTCAAGTTCATTTTGAATGAACTTGGCGATAGTAGCATGTTGGGAATCTCTCTTGAGAGCCTCTAGCATGACGCTAACAGCATGGATGCCCATGGTTGAACCCATCCGTTCAACCGCATCCCATTCGACATCGCTCAGATGGGAGTAGCCGTCACGCGTAGCGTGAAAGCTTTGGTCATCTTCATCATCAAACATATTCATGTTAGATGTGAACGTGGTCCTTGGACGGACTACGAAGTGCTACCAGGTGTAACGGGGCACCCTGAAGCTTGGACTGGTAACAGTACAAGCTACTTATTCTGATGACAGAATAAGGCGGTGCCTCGTAACTTCACGTACACTCGTACGTGCAGAGGAAGACGGTAAGAAGAAGCGAGTACTTGGTTAAAGTAAAAAGGAGAACTGTATTTATCATAGTTAATGTCTGCAATGAATCACTATTTATCTTCATCTAACTATGTCTAAATACAAATGTGTAAATCAGTTATCTGCTCACCACTCATTGCGTGCGTCTGTCGTGGCGCGTCTTCGATGGTTGATATTTTGGCCTATATCAACCAATTGAAACTACTCGTAAGTGCTGCAGAAAATTTGTCCTTATGACAATATTCTGAGAATATCACTCTTATAGTTATACTCACTGAACAATTTCTTATAAATTGTTATGCAACGCTTCACCCCATTACAATTTGGCGATAGTAGCCTGGATAGTGCCTGAGCAGATTGATCCAACGTCAATTATAGTGGGACCGAAAAAAGGTGCTGGATTTCGAACGGATGGAAAAGGGAGACTAATCCCATCTAGCTCGGCGACGAGCGGCCGATCAGGATTTAAACGATACAAATCGCATGAGATCTTTTATTAACGGTTTCCGAGCCCACTAACCCCTTCAATACCCGATCATACATCGTAACACAAAGAGGATGTCGGGGTATGAAGGCGACTCAAAAAAAAATTGGTCGTGTGGACGAGGTGGCAGACGCCAAAGATTGCGTTGGAATCGTCGACAAGTTCAATGTCAGCGCTCGGGGCCCAGGTCGACTGAAAGAAATCTTTGTGAAAGCGATCTATATTGAATGTGCGAACGTTTAGACGGTTGAGCAGTGTAACTTGATCACGTCTCCTAGAAAGACATGTGATATGAGGTTTCGTTGGTATGAGGAGAAGGCGACCTGTACAGAGAAGCGCTCCTGGATGTGGACTTAGTAGGTAGTGTGGTCGTTTGATACGACATAATTACACAAACATTTATTTTGACAAACGCACGATATCGGCTATCGCCTGGACCGTCTCTATCTTTGTAACCGTAGCTGGTCGCGGGTTGCAGTGTAAGCTTCAATCTGGTTACGAAGACCAACGCTCTCATTCTGTGCGACCTTCAGCTAGGCTTCGAAAGATCTTAGCTGATCCACCTGCAGGGTGACATTGGCGACGACCCACCTACAGGTCAAGATTGCAAGAGATTTCGCAACGTCGGCTAGAGACTGATTCCCTCAGTATACAGGATTTCGACCTGTGACTCTGGGATAGCGCAATTTTGGCTACGCTTAGAACACTGGACACAAAAAGACATGCATTTAGCCTTGACGGCCTTGATCCGAGCGCTGAGTCAAGCACAAGCCTCTGCGACACTTGCGACTTTTTATTCCTGAGTCTTGTGCTTGATCATTGTTATGTTAAATGTGTACATCTCTTTGTTATACTAATTGCGCATTCGTCTGATCTTGGCGGCGATCTCATGCCGTAAGTGAGCGTTAAGGGTCCTGATCAGGAATGCGCAGCGCATGCTTATTTCCGTGGGCGACAAAATTTCGTATCGTGATCCAGATGTTCAGCCAAACCCTATATTTGTTCGCTGGGGGTATGTACGGCTCGAATGTAATAGGTACGCATCATCTCGTATTTGCGCTGCACTTAGGAGACGAAATGAAGAAGCCAATCTGCGCAAAGAAAACGAATTCATTTTGCAGGTGACCCTCATGTAATACCGGCGCTCGGCTTAGCTGCCAAATGAAATTGAAACTGTATAGGAGCGTGTCAAACCGATCATCCGAAGGCAAAGATTGTTGTAAAAGCGGATCGGAAGTCGTCCACAGGCACATCGAAGGGGACAAGAGACGAGACCCCTAATAGAAGTGCTTCGCCCAAACATGAATTACAATGCAGAAAAACTCGACGCTGCGCCAGACTATTTTTAAGGTTCTGATGATCCCACGAAAGGAAAGGAAGGTCTGGCTGCACTTAATCGTAGGAGATAGACACGGGAAGTATGTAGCGACCCCTTAGCCGACGGGCGACCAGATACTCAGTGTTAGTGAGTGGCGGTCCGACAAAATTATGCGATAACTGGTGACCGGATCGATCCGATGGTGACGCGGAGTCACTTAGAATAGCAAGTGACCTGTAAGGATATCGCCATCTGGACTTACTGGTAACAACAAAGAGTTAAAAGGGGCCGGAAAATCCGGGCGATACAGGATGAAGGAATGTGACGTGACATGAGTGCTTCGACTACCTTTCAAAATGAGTTCACTGAGACTCTATCGCTCACAATAGATTCTTTATGCAAAAGAATTTCGAGGCAAAAGCATTTAAATTATTTGCCAGCGGTCCCTGGACACTCAAGTTTATAATATCCGTACATGAGTGTGATTATAAACTTGAAATTGCGATTTGGGTGCTTTTTTATGAATAAGACAAGCTCAAGTATCATGATCTCGGTCTGTGACAGGAATTAAATGATTTACTTTGGTGAATCCGAGATCAGGATTCAAATGCCCTACTAAGGTGAATCTGAGACCATCAAATTTAGAATTACATGGCTGGACCCAGCAACGATGATTCAACTCGACGCAACTTGATGATTTTCATTGCCTATTCGATAAGATGAAATCAGATATTGGTCAACTGCTCCCCAATCTGAATTTACGGTCTACTTATGTGGATCAAGGAAGCATTTATCAAGAAGCGAGAAAAATTTTCCGACTAGATGTTTACTGGAATGTGGCGTTTGGGCTGGTACATCGGTTGAATGAATGCAGATCGCAGATCTGTATCGGGTCGATGCCAATATTCCGTATTAGGAGTACCAGATCGATATTTTCTCCACTGATGCTAGATACATCGTTGATAAAGTGATCTGATTGTAAAGAGTGTACTCATACAATTTTCGTGAATGACGTTCATAAATTTGCGATCAAAGAAGTCAGTAAAAAGGGGTGCAAGTTTACTTTTGAAAGGTGGTTTATCCCAATACTGGGTATTGTGTACGATTTTAAGTATTGGTACAATATTGAGTTTGGTGCCGTATGTGGTATTCGATATCATGTGCGATATTGGATACCACATTTGGAAATTAGTCTTAACATCGGGGACATTGGACCTATGATTGGAGTAATAGCTACTCAATTAAGACATGTGATTCAAGAGGGCGACCTGAATGAAGCAGCTATCAGTTTGAGGAGTATCTGCAGGGTAGGGTGGGCTTAGTGACATTCTTTTTTGCTTTTGATTGAGTTTGTCACAAGCAAACTTGAATTCGACTCCTTCTACACACGACACGATTCCCCCTTATCCAAGAAATTCAACTGTGGATTCCTGACGACCAAAAGTGCGTCTGTCCCATTTCACACAAGGTCGGTCACGACCAAAGTGAAGCCCTATCCTGGATTGTTATGCCTGCATCATGAAAGTTCTTAAGCGAGACAACTACTATCGGACGAGAAAAAGGGAAACCAATGGAGCGGCCAAGATCGACAAGTCGATCTGGCTCATACCGATCTGGCGCACCGCAGTCTAAGGATCTCAAAGTGATCATAGACAAGATCAAGCGACAAGCAATAAGATCTGAATCAAGTGGGATTCATCTTCTGCAACAAGAACCAAGAGATTTAATGAAAGATCGAAGTGGCCTCAACCATGACTGACACAAGAACACTCCGCTGGCTGTATGGAGATTCCACACCGTGATCAACCTTGATTCCGGACTTCTAGCGAGATCTACACTTTTTAAGACCGTAAGGAAGAGCTTCAACATTTAAATCCGATGGCTAAACCGATAAAACCAGTGGCTAACAAGTTTTTACAACTTTAGGCATGTAATCTCGAGTACCTCAACTCTGTAAGTTTAAAAGTCTGAGAGAGTTGAAGATCAAAATTCACATTACCAAATTGTTAAATTGACCTAGCCACGTTTTATTGTTTAGCCATCGGAAGAAATTGTTGGAGCTCATCGTAACGGTCTTAAAAAGTGTAGATCTCGCTAGAAGTCCGGAATCAAGGTTGATCACGGTGTGGAATCTCCATACAGCCAGCGGAGTGTTCTTGTGCCAGTCATGGTTGAGGCCACTTCGATCTTTCTTTTAATCTCTTGGTTCTTGTTGCAGAAGATGAATCCCACTTGATTCAGATCTTATTACTTGTCGCTTGATCTTGTCTATGATCACTTTGAGATCCTTAGACTG